CGAAGTGCTGGAATAAAGATGGGCCGTGTTGGGGAAGCAGCTGGCCCCAGCTTGGGGACGGGCAGGGTGGGGGGAGAGCCGGGCAGGAGAAGTGTGTCTTCAGTGGAAGTGGGAGGCAAGATGGGGCGTGGACACATCTGAAATAGTCCCGTCTCCTGTGTGGCTCTCTTGCACCACAGAGTCCAGTCCCTCAGTTCCTACAGGACTCTTCAGTCAGTATCACTTTAACCTCGACACCAACAACGGGTCCAGCTGGGTTCTGATGGGTGCAGAACAGAGCCTGAGGACCCCTTGGCTCTTCAGAACCCAGGCAGCTGGCTCTTGGGTCCTGGAGCCCCACTAGACTCAGCAGCCTGATGTTCTTGTACTTGCTCTTCTTGGTGTAGCTCTTGTTCTTGTGCTCTTGTTTTTCTCGTTCTCGCTATTCTCCCCTTCGTTCTTCTTGTTCTTGTCTTTGCTGTTCTGGCCCTTGGTCTCTTTCCTTCTGTTCGTCTTGCTCTTCTTGTTCTTCCCAGTGTACTTGTTCTTCTTGCTCTTGTTTCTTTTTTTTTTACTGTAAGCGGCCATGTTGTCACAAACTTGCATTCGCGTTCCTACGAACTGTGACTTGACGGGGCCCTTCCTGCTCACTAGTCACTGTATGAGCGAATAAGCACAATATGTGCAGCAGACATTTCACCGCAGAAATGTTCCAATGTGATCTGCATGCAGAGTTAACAAGTAAGTAGCATTTCTGGGAAAAACTGTTTCAAAGTCAAGATTTCTATTGGATTAAAAGAGAAGTATTCACAAGCCTGTTTACAATGAGAGGGCCACAACACACACGTTTTGTTGCCTTGTTCTGAATTGCAGGCGCTGCACATACCCTGAAATATAGTCTATTTTATTATGTTGAATTGGAGGTTTTACAGGTTACTGTGTGCATTTTACTTTCATTGCGGTTTGAAATGCGCTCATCAGTGCTGGTTCTTTCCAACCCTGACATTTGAAAATAGCCTTGCAGCTCCCCTTTAAAACCCACACGAAAGAATCATTTCACACAGGCGCCTGAGAATTCTAGACGTTGCACAACGTGTTATGTAGCGAAGGCCCGTGTTAACAGCATCAGCCACTGCTGTTAGTCCTGGATGCAAACTGTTGAGGATCGAGATGTGAATCTGTAATAGTTTTGAGATAATGCAGTATCATATGTTTGGAAATCTTCATTATGACTGAGGTAAAAGCAACTGGTCGATAATCAGTAAGACGAGCTGTTTCGTCCTTCTTTGATACAGGGGCACTAAAGGAGAATTTAAAGCAGGCAGGGACCTCACACTGACGAGGAGGGTCTGATTAGACATTTCGGTGAGCACCAGGGCTCGGGCACCCGGACCGGGTCGGGCCCAGCAGCTGTTCTGCAGCTCTGCCTCGCAGGTCTTTGATAATTCGGGGAGGCTGCCGAGGGAGAGCGGAGTGTGTGCTGGTGTGGGCTGGAGGCAAGGAGAAGCAGCGAGAGCAATGAGGCAGTAGAGTCTGAGGAGGTCATCAGCATGCGTGAGCTATCATCATCATTAAAGAGCCTCTGTTATTCCAGCCTACAGTACAATCAAAGTCATTGATTCTGTCTGGCAGAGGCAAGTCAGCTATAAGACAGGGAGGGTCCTTTTTCTAATCTGTGACAATCTGACCGCTCCTGCAAAGTGGCGTGGGGTTGTCATTTGCCAGCTGCCATTCTGATGCCGTCCTGTGTTGGACTTTTGCATGTCTTCTTTGACGCCGGCAGTGCGTCTGCAGGCAGCTGCCACATTCCTGGTCTCTGTGGAGAACGATGGCCATCCTCTCAGTGTGAAAAAGGCTTTATTATTTGCGTGTTTCTGCGGAGCGTGCGGAGCTGGAGGAATCGGCGAGGAGCCCTGCCTCTCGTGTCTCTGGGCGGGGCGGAGGAGCTGCTACGACTCCCTGCACACGTTCGCGCTCTCTAACTTTAGTCCAGAAAGGCCCCGTGACTTTACAGCAGCTGCCTGGGAAGATTTACAAGCACAAGGCAGCTTGAAAATAGACACTCCAGGCCAGCCCTCTCAAGCCCCGGCTCTCCTGTGCCAGGCGCCTTGAGCACAAATCACTCCAGCATTCCTGGGACCTGTGATGGACACCCGTACTCCCCAATCCTGGGTCTGGGGGTGCCCTCCAGCACCTCCAGCTGCTTAACATTGTTCTAAGCTCTTGAAATGATTGGGGTTTACCTAAAAAGGTTTCTGAATATTTTGCAATCTACAGCTTAATGGATTGAACCCATCACTGCAAAGTTTACAGTTTTAGGAATAACGGGGAAGCCCGGTGTTCAGAAAACAGTCAAGTCACCGTTCAACCAGTTTGTGCTGCAGTGAAGCAGCCAGCAGCCCAGCAGGAGTGAAACCCAGCAGCCCTATAGGAACAGTGTGTTTAAGAACGTCAAGAAGCTGAGCTCTGTCAGTGTGGAGTTCGGCCTGTCTTCCACAGCTGTTTCGAGCCTCTGAGGCCCATGTCCTTCATCATGTCCAAGTGCACAGCGCTAGCCCAGGGACTTCAGGCACACGACAGACTGCTCTCTTGCATCTCCAGCACATGGGAAAGACCTGGGGAAAGCTGTCACACTGGTCCAATGAATGAGCCCCAGGCCTGCCACAGACACACCCCACTGTCCCCACTGAGCCCCAGGCCTGCCACAGACAGACCCCACTGTCCCCACTGAGCCCCAGGCCTGCCACAGACA